CTCTGCCAACGACTACCTAAAAGCGGAACCAACAAAATATTAATATAATCAACATAATCAAATATGGCGCAACACACATTAAACTAACATTCATAACCACATCTCAGACTTCAATAAGGGCGATATACTACTCGCCAACACCGCCACTTCAAAAATAACATCGAACGCTGCATTGACGTTCAAAACAATCAAATACATATGCGCAATTTATTTCACAAAAAAAAGCTCTCAATCAACACGAACCGCTGAATGGAACTGCTTTGATTGCTTTGAGGAGTAATGATTACATAAAATCCGAGTTATTTCCAACAAAATGAAGCGCTCGATACAGCAAAACGCGCACATTAAACTCGTATCAATCAAAAATTACCACTAAAACAACCACAATAAAGGTGGCATATCACTCGCCAACACCACCTCCCTGGCACATAACATCAACACAGCAATCGCCTACAAACTATTCCTAACAAACGCAATTTTTTACAAACAAAAAAAATAAATCTTTTAAATGTCTTTTGAAAACATTCTGACACCAATTTTTCGAGGATTTAAAGCGAATTCCGCCTTCAAACTAGGCCTAAAACATTCGTTAAGGCCTGATTTACCTATTTTCACGAAAAAACCGTACAAAAAACCGCAAAAAAGCCACCTCCCATCCAATTTTTTGGAAAATAAACTAAATTTTATTATAATAGTGGACTGACGTGGAACATTTGGCAACAAGCCATCTGGCAAACTGCCAGTACCGTATCGCAAACAATCGTTTTGAGACCGTCGGTCGCCTATAGCAGCTCAATATTAATTCAAATCTGAAATCAACACCTGGCAAACGGCTACCGTATTGCAAACAATCGCTTCGAGACCCGAAAGAAATCGAAAATTCAAAAAATTCGGTCCTAACACGATTGTCTGTTTCCTGTAGTTGGCACTGATGCCATCCACGCCGACTGCTTCTCCTCATCTTTTACTACTTTGTGGTTCATTATGAGTGTTCTCTAAGAGATGTTGCTGCTGTTATTCTTTAACTATTCTTCATCATTCGATTCCTTTGTCATATTTTACTTGTGCTTTCACTCTTTTATATGTTCTCATAGGCATTCAATTGGAACGCGATTCAAAATGTGATCGAATATTTATTCCATTCAACAAAATAAATTATACATCAGCGTATACAATGCAATAAACAATCGCAGTCATTTCATAACCACAACTGAACAACAATATGAATTAATTGGGAACAATTAGGCACTTTAACTTTAGAAACATCATTACACAGCGAAAATTGTGATGCTATCCGACCGAAATTTTTGGAGGGCCGGTCGATTTTTTCAAAAGTTGTTTTACCAAAAAATTGTTTCTGGCCGAACGAAGATATTTTTTTGTTGTTCTCTAAAATGTTGTGATATCATTTTCAAACCCTTTCGTGAATAAACTCTGTGCCTCAATCGTGCATCAGAGTTTCTCTCCTTCAGATAGGCCAAATGAATATTGTCACGGAATCACCGTAAAAATGCAAGGAATCGCCAGCTCTCTGCTCATATATGGGAACATATCGAACTAAACTAAATACATCAAATTCATACAACACCAACTGATTTTACTCGCGCTACAATACAACGTTACGAAAACAACATTCACTCAGAAAACCTAACATTCACTGCTGTCACGTTGATGTGGCTAGACGTGTGCCGTACATAATATGAATATGTGTTAAGTGAAACAGTCATACTGAAACAGAATATGAGAAACATTCCTTGCGCTGACCACATTTACAGTCAAAAATCAAAGCACCTTGAACAGCAATTCTAAACTGAACTGAACTGAAGAATTCTTTTGACATTAACTGACAAATTCGCAGAAAATGGCCGAATGCCCCACAATACTCTCAGTCCATTCGCTATTCTTACCCAAAACTTGCCCGTACCGGAACAAGCAACAACTAAAAAACTTAAACATACAGAATTTCTGTCCAGATTGCAAGCTACCCAATCTGGACAGTCCAAAACCTTTTCATAAACTAAACTAACACTTTCGTTTACAATCAAATTCAAATACAATCAATCGAAAGTATAAAACGTGATCATATGTAAAAAATCAAAATGAAAAGTCATTCTAACAAGTGAAAACTCGTCAAACTGAGCGAAACGACCAAAAGTTATACAAACGAGATACCTTCACATTATCACATCACATACGAACAAATACATATAGAAATCAGTTCGTTCCACATCAACGCATACAACCAACTAACACATCACACATATTCCGAGCAATAATGGCACTTTCGAATGATCAAGCACAATAAACCAGATCAAAATCATTCATTTCACTACACTTCTGCTAGATCGAAGTTTACTGACTCCAATCCATCACTACCTGTATCACATCACAGCTGTGAGCTTGACGACAATTTTGTCGTCGCCAATGAATCACACGAATCCTCTGGTTGGACGCCGTCTTTCGACGAACCGTCCGATACACCCAATTCCAGAGAATTTCCATCTTTCAAATCACAATTCACCTTCGCATCCATGCAACAACCGTCACTCTCCGTTGCATTATTGCTTCTTTTATTACAGTCATTGTTGACGGCCTCCTTGTTCGTAACAATAGCACAATCATTACGTGCTTTTTGCCGTTCAGTTTGACTCTTATCGGGATGCAAATGCAAATTTGTTTCGCGATTAGTGCCGATCGTCTGCCCATCGTGATCACGTTGATTTTGACTGCAACACAGCGACGATCGTTGTGCGGCTTTGCAGTCGAGCATTGTCACAAAATGCGGTGAACAATTCACGTCACGGATACTCATCTGATGATATCGTCTCAAATGAGTCGCGTATACTGCACGATTCTTGAATTTCCGTTCACAGTTATCACACGAGATGATTGCTTCACCTGATAAATCATTATATTAAAC